CTCTCTGTTAGAAAATCTCTTAAATTGCTCCTTATTTTATAAACACTGTAAAGTTTCATTTATGAAATTCATTATTTCGAGTTCGAACCGAAATCAGACCACTTTTCAAACCGGGTACCTACGCCAAAATCTGTGTAGTGTGTGATCAGAGACAAGTACTTGTCTCTGGTGTGATTATAAAACCGGTGAACGATCCGTTCCCGCGAGATTTGGCAAGAGAAGCTTGTTCTACTGCCGTTGCGTGATGGGATCACTCGATCGCGTTCAAGAATACCAATATTCGCTTCACGAGAGAACCACGCCCTTCTTTCTCATGCGATCGCCGTTCCCAGTTTCGAGAATTAGGCTCCAGTGGTACTCTGTAATCTGTGGTAGCAATTAGCATGCACATAGAAGTAAGGTGTAAATTAATAAGATGCCCATGCTAGCATGGAGAGAATGCGATGCTATGGCATACGGATGCCGGAGCTGACAAATTCTTAGAGAGGACTACAAGTTTTAAAGGATAACTCCCGAAAACTCGTAGTACCAAAAAGGGGGTTTTTTAGTTGGTAAGAATCCAACACTACCCAGGGTTCGGAACACTGGGTGTCTTCGCGACGATTTTTATTCATCCAGCCGCCGGGCAAACAAAAAAAAAAAAAATTAATCCCATTTTGCAACTGCGTGAACAAACGTCACTTCTGACAGCCGTCATTCAAGTTGTTATGGTGGAATGCTGTTAATGTTTGGTGGTATTCGCAAATATTAATTTTTTAACAAATTTGCCCTGTTATTAAGTATTTAGTTGAGTGCTTTGCTGTGGAATTAATTCCGGACAGTTGGTTTGATCCCGTTCATCTCCTAACAGCGTTAAATCGACCGAACCAATGTCGAAGCGTCGAATAGAAGTGCTTGATCCCTTTATCAAGAAAAAACGGTTAGTGAATTGACTAATTTGTTAATTTCAGCTCCGGTTGCGACCAGTTTTACTTGGAAACTTACAGAAAGCAACTTGCCAAATGCACATGTTACTTGTTCGGGCAGTTTTTGTACCCTAACCTCAGATTGGGACTTTCACTGTATTTGCATGTTTCCACTGAATGTCTATTAAATGTATCAGTTCCATGCGGGGACGCAGTTTGTACGATGCGTCTTGGGGTGGAGAAATTGGTTCTAAAAGAACTACTTAAATATGCATGTTGTTGGACTGTATTCGATCAAAAAACTTAAAAGTTACTCCTTTAAATTATGCAGAACATCCAAAGTCCCACACATTGTAGCAGCTGCAAAGCAACTATCAATATTCACATATCTTAGATATAAATCAGACATTTATTGATTTCAGAGAGGAGAAGGGTATTCCTACAGCAATCACCTACACTCAAGTGGCCGCTACCCCTATGAATCCCTACAACAACCTGCCCTACACTCAACGCTACCATGAACTCTACCGCAAACGAATCGGGCTTCCGGTTTTCGAGTATCGACAGGATTTCATGCGACTTTTGTCCGACAATCAGTGTATCGTCCTGGTGGGTGAGACTGGCTCCGGAAAAACCACCCAAATCCCCCAATGGTGCGTCGAGTACGCGATGAAAATCGGCCAAAAAGGAGTCTGTTGCACACAACCTCGAAGGGTGGCAGCCATGTCCGTGGCCCAGAGAGTCTCCGAGGAAATGGATGTCGCTTTAGGACAGGAAGTCGGCTACAGTATTCGATTTGAGGACTGTTCATCGGCCAAAACTGTATTAAAGTAGGTGGTTTTTGTTCGTTTGTGAGTATGTGCAAAGCAAGACCGGGAACAAGAGTTGCATGATCTGAGTTTTGCAGCAATAGTCTTCCCAGTTTTAATTAAGTAAAATTGAGTACAATTATTTCACCAATTCAACTGAAAAAACCGGAAATGTTTTCACCAAACAACACCACTAGGTATTTGCACGTTTCACTGCAGTTTGAAATGAAATCTATTTAATCCTGTTGATTTGAGCCTCTTTCTGAGTGTCGTGTAAGCAACACTGAAAAGTCTTCTGAGTCTCCTTCTTTAACATTGAGCCACTAATTTACCAAAAAATCAGCAAAAATCTGCCATAACTCACATTTAAGCCTCACTTGAGCTTTTAGGAACAAGTCGCGTTATTTGAGTCTCTGCAGCATTTTGCTGAGTGCACTTGTTGCAAAGCAATGTTTATTGCCAAATAACGCAAAACTTCAGCTTGTAAAGGTTAGCTATTTATTAGAGCTCTAAAGTCGCATCAGTTGTGTAGTTTGTAGCCAGAGACTTTTGAAGCATCAACGGAACAAAAATCAGCAGAAATTAAGAAATTCTGTGTTGGCTTAACTGAGAAGGATTTCTGCGCTTTTTCCTGTACTATTAACGCCTTGAGCGGTAAGCAAAGCATTTGAGCCTGAACTCGTTTTTAGGCCAAATCGCGTCGTCTAAGCCGCTGCAACTTGCGTCGGAACATTTCTGAAGTTTTCTGATTTACTTGATATAAAAGAACGGCAAATTTACCATTGATTTGGGAAAATTTTACGAAACAATCTACTTCTGAGGATTTAGCGACGAATTACGGCGCGTAATTGGTGTTTCCGTGCGTAGTTAAAGGTAAAAAAAACCGATTCAATCGATCCAAATGTCGTTATTGGCTTGAACGTGGTTTTCTCGGCAAATGTAGTCGAAATAGAAAAATTGAATTTGGTTTTTTTATTCAGTTCTCTTTCGCAATGTTAATGTGGTTCAGGCGACAATTTTTCTCATTGAGGTTTGACTGTTTTACATAATGTGCATATAACATACTTTTTCCTTAACTTATACTAGAATTTAACGGTAAAAGTTAATAAATATTAAAACAAATATTGGGACCAACTAGCCGCCGGCTTAGGTAGTCTTGAAGAGAAGGAAATACATCTGGAACTTGAAAAAACTCTTGGTCTTGCTTGATTGCTCAACAATGTTTAAGTGTCCGTAAGTTACAGTTCTCTAAGGAAAAAGTTCTATTTCAGATACATGACCGACGGTATGTTGCTGCGCGAAGGAATGAGCGATCCGATGTTAGACGCCTACCAATGTATCCTTCTGGATGAGGCGCACGAAAGAACGCTGGCTACCGACATTCTGATGGGCGTCCTTAAGGAAGTGATCAAGCAACGTACAGACTTGAAGCTGGTCATTATGTCCGCTACTTTGGACGCTGGCAAGTTCCAACAGTACTTCGACAATGCGCCCCTGATGAACGTCCCTGGACGGACACATCCGGTTGAAATATTTTACACTCCAGAGCCGGAAAGAGACTATCTGGAGGCGGCCATTAGAACGGTCATACAGATCCACATGTGTGAGGAAATAGCGGGTAAGGCCCAGATTCGAATTCTTATTTTGTGATTATTGGGCATTACAGGATTTGTTTGTTGCTGTTTTCAGGCGACGTGCTGCTGTTCCTAACGGGTCAAGAAGAGATCGAAGTGGCCTGTAAACGCATCAAGCGCGAAATCGATAATCTCGGCCCGGAAGTGGGCGAACTAAAATGCATCCCACTATACTCCACATTGCCGCCGAATCTTCAGCAGCGCATCTTTGAAGATGCGCCACCCAGCAAGGCAAACGGTGCCATTGGACGGAAAGTCGTGGTTTCCACCAACATCGCCGAAACTTCTCTAACTATTGACGGCGTCGTCTTCGTGATAGATCCCGGTTTTGCTAAACAGAAGGTTTACAATCCGAGGATTCGTGTCGAGTCGTTGCTGGTGTCTCCCATCAGCAAAGCATCCGCTCAGCAACGAGCCGGACGTGCCGGCCGAACCAAACCTGGCAAATGTTTCAGGTTGTACACGGAAAAGGCATTCAAGAATGAGATGCAGGACAATACTTACCCGGAAATTTTGCGGTAAGGAGAAGAAAACATTTGAACTGTTTAAAGTTGGTAATTCTCAGGAATGTTTCTGAACTCATAACTTGGGTAGTACCAGTTAGGATTTTTTGCGAAAATGCCGTTTTTGACCGAACACAAGGAGCAATTGAAGAGATCAGGATATGGGTTTTTTTTTACGCGTTCGACCAGTTTTCTTCTCGTTTGGTGGAGCCGGCAGTAGTCATAAAAAGCGTGTACTCTTCCACAACAAATTTTGACCAAAAAATGGCAAGTGAGTTTTTTGTCGCAAATTGAACGAGGGCTTCAAAAATGGTTGGCGTAACATTTTTTTTCTTTAAAAACATTGAGATCATTACCCATTACTATGCGGGCCAATAATGAACATAAAATTCTTCTTAAAACGCACCAAATTACCCCCGCATCTGGGAAACAAATCAATTGCGGACAATACAAATCATAAACAAACTGCTATTTTTTGCTGTAGAATCACTGCTTGAAATTGGTCGGTTATTTGCAAACACCCTGCATAAACAAATCGCTTCATTCCAGATCAAACTTGGGTTCTGTGGTGCTTCAACTGAAGAAACTGGGCATAGACGATCTCGTCCACTTCGATTTTATGGATCCGCCAGCGCCCGAGACTCTAATGCGCGCTTTAGAGCTGCTCAATTATCTGGCTGCTTTGGATGACGATGGAAACTTGACCGACTTGGGCGCCGTTATGGCTGAGTTTCCTTTGGACCCGCAACTGGCCAAAATGCTGATCGCCAGTTGCAACCACAACTGCTCTAATGAAATATTGTCAATAACAGCCATGTTATCAGGTATTTAACAGTTTCCCGTTAATTATCAGTTCAAACTGGTGAAAATCGATCGATGGCTTAAAGCTACGAAATTTCGGGTAGTCAATTAAATTTAATGAGTCGTCTATTTCAAAAGAGCTACATTTCAAGCAGACGAGTTTAACTTGTTAGTTGTTATGCACATTTGAGACTTTTTCTAACGCGTATCGTGTTTAAATGAGCGCGACACGTGCTGGAAAGGTCCTGATTAAGGATAGCTCTGTAGGATTGATTTGAAAGCGAGCACAACTATATCTGTTGGATACGGGCGCGCGCCCCGCTCCAATATTTAGTCCCACAGTGTTTCGTCAGACCCAACGAGGCGAAGAAGGCTGCTGATGATGCCAAGATGCGCTTTGCCCACATCGATGGTGACCACCTAACATTGCTGAATGTTTATCACGCTTTCAAGCAAAGTGAGTCATTAAACGATTTGCCTCAGTTTAACTCTTCTATCGCAACTCGGCTGTTTTAGGTATGGAGGATCCTCAATGGTGTTACGACAACTTCGTGAATTATCGGTCCCTAAAGTCTGCAGACAATGTTCGGCAGCAATTATCGCGAATTATGGACCGTTTCCACCTGAAAAGAACATCCACCGATTTCACGAGCAAAGATTATTATATTAACATCCGCAAAGCTCTAGTCAACGGCTTTTTCATGCAGGTCAGCTATTTACCCTTTGAGTTACGCAACGTCTGCAAATAAACCGATTGGTTTTAAGGTGGCGCACTTAGAGAGGACCGGCCACTATTTAACAATAAAAGATAACCAGATTGTCCAACTGCACCCGTCGACCTGTTTGGATCACAAGCCAGAATGGGTAATCTACAATGAGTTCGTGTTAACCACGAAAAACTACATTAGAACTGTGACGGATATTAAGCGTAAGTTTCCAACTGTGAGGCTTGATCGGAAATTAACTGTATATGTTTTAGCGGATTGGCTATTGAAAATCGCCCCCCAGTACTACGACTTGAATAACTTCCCGCAGTGCGAAGCCAAGCGGCAGCTGGAAATTCTGCAAAACCGGCTCGAGTCCCGGCAGTTCCAGCAAGGTTTTTAGTCATTGTTTCGATTCCGGTTTATTAAATTTTTAAATAAGACTTATATAGTTGATACTGCAGCCAGATTTGGATTTTTCAATTGAAGCACTGGTCTAGGTGGTTGATAAACAATATTATTTCTTTGACCTTTTGTGTTTTTTTTTCGAGAAAATTCTCCTATATTTACCCTATTTAGCTGCTTGGTGAGACACATTCTATAGGAATTCAGTTTTCAATATAATGTGGCTTTTGTACTTGAAGCTTCACATTTTTTTTTGTTCACCCCTAAATAAAGAATCGGAATGGGAAATTGAATCAGAATTGAAAAAAAAGCAACTAAATATTGAGAAAACTCGGTTCAAAAGTTAATTTCCTACTAGATCAAACTTAAAAAGAAAGTTGAACATTTCTTCAAAGCTTGCAAAAAATGCCCCTACGTGAGTAAAAAAAATCGTTAAAGTTTGGGAAACCAGATATTTTTTTGTACATATACAGGGTGGTTGTTCAATTGAATTCAAACAGATTTGTTGCAAAAAGAGTACCAGGAAATGTTTTCTTGCTCTTGAAGCAAATAAAACATCCGTTGTTGCTTAATAGGTCATCAATAGCACTTTTGGACATAACCGAAATTAATCGTTTTGGGAGAAATATAATTTTTTCCTCCAACTCAACCATGACAGCTTCTCCAAATGATGTATTAATTTTACGAATGTTTATAACTTTATACCATTTATTTAGAATCATTTCATCCGGTTTCATTTTAGGTTTTAGTTCACAGCTTGCAATAGAATAACTCGTTCCATTTTTAATTATTATTTTAATGTACCACACACAACAGAAGATTACTATATTAAGTTAATCATATCTACGATATTTATACCATTTGTACAATAATTTGATAATAAGCACATAGGCGTACAAAAAGAAACTTATCCTACGAATGAGTATGGAAACTGCTGCTGCTGCTAGTGACTGTGGTTAGGTAAGGTAACTGCACGTATTATCGGCACCTTAAGAGTCCACCCAACGTTTGACAGTGTTAAAAAAAGTAATACAAATAGTTAAGGTTTTAAAAATGTAGCAGACATATCAAATGATATTTAATGTATCATAGTAAAAACACATTTTTTATAGCAAATATAAAAAAATTAAAGCACATAAACTGGATATAATCCAACATGCATCTGTTATCGGCACCTCACAATGAAACGTGTCCCTATTATCGACACCTGCAAGTAGGTATTATCGGCACGTTAAAAGGCTGGATATATTTCAGATCGTACAACATCGGTATTAATATAAAAATAGGCAAAAGTACTTAAGTTTCTATTGAACAGTTTGTAGTACCAATTCACTAATAACTTAGTTCTGAAATTCTGAAATTTCTTCTATGATGAAGAGTGAGCTCTTTTGTTTTTTGACGTAGGTGTTCTAATTTTCCTTACTATTTCTGATTTATCATAGACCAGAATATCTGCTTTTTCTGGCCAAAACCAAATTATTCCTTTTTTTGCATATGCGTGACTTCAAGTTGAAGGCAGCCATCTTCATTCTGTAGTCCAATTATCTCACCCGGATAATGCTCATAATTATACCTAGCTATAACAAAGTCTTTTAATTTGTATTCCTAGCCATTTTCTAGGCCAACTACTGACGTAGTAAAGTAGTCAGATTCTCAACAGTCTTACACTTGTTTTTCGTTTTTTCAATTTGCTTTCTTTTTCTCCTCCTGTTTTTTCAATTTGCGTTTTTCTTCTTCGCGTTTCTTTTCTTCTTTCGATCTGAAATATTGTTGCCACTGGGACGATGTGGCCACTGCCGGTACTTTTTCTTTTAGCTTCCTTTTCACAGTTACAGACTTATTTCGTTCAGGCCACAGCAGAGATTTTTTAAGAGGAGTAAGAACTTGAGTGTCTGAATGTTCAGTTGAAATAACTGCTGCCCCCTAAGTTTGAGTTATATTGTTCAGACTTTCCATATCACTATTTGATGGTTTTTCAGCGGTACAACTAGGAGGTGTTATTAATAGGAGTTTATCTTCAAGAGAACGTAGATCCGATGAGATTAAAATGTCAACGGTACAACTTGGTGGTGTTTCTGATGAAAGAACATCTTCAGAAGCACAAAAATCCGATGCGGTAGACGATTCTAAAATTTGTTTTGCAGAGGATAAGATTGTAGGAGTTCTACCGCCCAGCTTCACGTTCGTGTCCTCAATAACACTAAGAGCATCGAACTGTGAATTAGTTGTATTATCTAAATCATTGGCTTTTTCCATATACTTTTCAACTTTACTCACAACTGTGTTAGTTTCACATAATATCACAGGATGATTTGGATCATGGTCTGTACTGACTGGTGTAACATTGAAAACATCGTCTATATCTACAAGTATTGGAAAAGAAGAGTTATTTAAATCAAACATTCCTGTAATATCTAACTCGTTGTCTGTTGTTTCAGGAATGTCGATAATAGATTTTCATTCAGCGGATTGAGAATGTCGATTCTGGATAGGAGATGTGGGAGGCACTTCCTTTGTAACTCGGAGTTTAATATTCCTCCATAGAAAAAATAAGCTAGTGTCTTCAGTTGGTCCATCCCAATTTTCTCCAGAAGATTTAATCATCGTTAACGTCTCGTTCGAAATTTGAGATTCTAATAATTTTATAAATCCTTCTGAAAACTCTTCCTCTTTTTGGTGTCCAATAGTTGTTTTTATTGCATTTGCCGGCGATGTGTTAAAGTATTTCGAAAATTTCATATTTTCTACATTGAAAGGTACAAGCCCACACGATCTAAATCATTTTTAATGACGTCAGGAATTTTTTCCATTTTGTGTAAAGTTGTTTCCAATATGGATGCAAATTTCTCTCTGCTCAATTTGTGTCCGTTATTTTGCATACGCCAACAGTAAACACTCTTCTTCCATTCCATCTTCAAAGGCCTAAAAACAGCGACGTCTATTGGTTGAAGAATATGGGTGGCGTTGGGACATAAAGCGACTAGAATTATGTTATTTTTGGTACAGAATTCACTCAAGGCCAGAGTAAGATGTGAGGAATGTCCATCCAAAAATAATATGACGGGAAATTCAATTTTTTCGGCTACCAACCACGGAATAAATATATTTGCAATATACTCGAAGAAAGTTTCACCGGTCATCCATCCGTTATCACTTCAACCAATGCGCCAACTGCGTGGAACATTTTCAGCAATGGACTTAGGGATTCTCTTGTAGCTATAAACAACCATTGGAGGAGGAATTAGCCCAGATGCACTACAAGTGACTAGAGTTGTTATACACTCTTTTTCGTCATTATTTACAAATGAATAAACAGTTTTGTCGCCTTTTCGTACTAGAACTTTGTCGTCTTTTGGGCTGAGAAAAAATGCGGTCTCATCACAATTGTATACACGGCTTGGATCTGACGTAATTTCAAAACTGTTGATGCTATCAAGATAAGTTCCTACTTCGTTAAACCATTGTCTTATTCGATTTTCTGTCAAATTTGATCGGCCATTGCTTAGATTCTGCGAGACACGTTGTGCTAGTCTTGGATGCCTTGCCATAAAGCCCTCACACCATCGTCGTCCCGGCCGTCCGCTCGCAAAATTATTTGGCCTTTGTAAATTTTTTACTAATATCTGAACGCTATCCAATAATTGATTTTTGGTTCCAAGAAATCCACACCTAGCTATATGAATAAGCCAGTTTTCAAGAAGGGTTTCTTCTTCTTCCGTTAGAACCATTTCTGGACCACTTTTTTTTCCCATTATAGTTCTTCCTTTAACCTTATCTTGAAGAGTCTCTCGGGGAATATCATAAGTTTTGCTGGCAGCTTTTGTCAATTGTTCATTGCTGTAATGCAACCTCTGCCGCTTACTTGCATGCATTTTAATACCTATAACGAAAGATGACCTATTAGCGACACAGGTTTGCACTTATTTTCGGCACGTTAGTTCTACCTAAAATAACTATTTTTCGATCAACAAAATATGGTGCCGGAAATAGGTCCTGTTTTAATTTGAAATGTTCGCTACCGTTTACAGTATTACCGTTCACAATATTAGTTACCGTTCACAATCTCTAAAACGCAATCCTATTGGTTGTGACGTCTCTGGTCATATAAATGGAGGATTGTTTACGTTCTGTGCATAGTGTTTAGTTGTGTGGTTGTGTTTCATTAATTAGTTTGTGGATTTAAATAATTTAYAGTTTGTGTTAAACTAAAAAATGGCCTCAGAGGGATTCCTTCAAGCGTCACCAAATAATTTACCATGTGTACATATTTTTATGGTGTCCGAATTTWWAAAAAAMGACAAAAGCTTTAATTAAGCCAAATTTAAGGGTGTCAAAGCAGCAGCGTAAGCAAAAATCCGTAAATTCATTATTAGTTACTCTCTCCCTAATATACTAATTTGTCTGCATTGGTTCAAATTAGGTAAATAATATATAGAATTTCACTTGTTCAACCACTTAACCTATACACATCGCTGCTTTCAAAATAAAACGAACTCTTAAATTTGTATTTTGGGCATCACGAGAACAATATTGTTGGGAAATGAGTAAATAAAATCTATTTGTCTCTATCGCGCCAATCACCGAAGTAAGTCTAGAGGGTGCTATGATAATTTTGTTTTAAGGTGGTTTGTTTTGTTTGTAGTAACTAAAAACATTCAGAAATATATATGTTGTAATTTGCCGATAATCGGGTTTTCATTCGTCGGTTGGGTGCAATCATATGCTTAAGTCGGTATTGGGAGTGCTGTTCCGAATCGGGATCGCGCACACGAAGAAAAATTTATAAATACATTCCACTTTAACGGAATCCGGTTCGAAGGACCAAATATGGTGGTATCGGATATGTGGAATTGAAACGCGAGGGTTCTTTGTGCAATGTACAAGGTATTTAATTTGCCCAGAACACAAAGTACGATCGAAGGCATATTCTATCTGCCTCATCATTAGCTTTTTGTTCGTACTTTCATTAAAATGATCCTCGCAACAAAAAATGATTGATTGCATTGATTTTGATTTAGGAACATCACGGCTAGCTGCTTTGAACCATAAAAACTTTACGTGCATAATCATGAGGAACGGTTAGAAAGAGTTGGTTTGGATCACTTATTGAGGTATTCTTGTATCCTGGCACAAAACACCATTTATTTTGTGATCTATACATGTCACTAATTTTCATTATGCGAGATAAAAATAATAATCAATGAAATAATGATAATCACAATAACTTAAATAATAAAACAAAGCTGCGAAAGCAACAAAATAAACACGAGACACTCTGTTGATATGACCTGCTACGTCACAATCGGGATAGGCAACCGACGATACGGATTCGGCGTTTTTGGCGGAAAATATCTGATTTGAATTTAAATTCGCTTTAAAATTATTTCGGAGACTTTTTTGGTCAAAAAAATTATATCAGGGTAATGTTTGCCATAACTACTTTCCATATATCAACATAAAAAAAGTGAAAACACCCGATTGTTTTTTGTGGGCTAAAGTTTCGGCGGGCTGGTCTGTACAGTTCTTCTACAATTTTAACTTTTTCGGTATTGCTGCTCAGCTCCATAGTAATTGTTATTTGTGTGAATTTCGAATTGAATTGAAGTGAATACAATAAACCATGGAATTTATTGACTTGTTGTTGTTGTCTTAGTAGTAGACTTATTGACAGCTTGCAGTTTACTTCTTTCCAGTTCCATATTTTCTTCTGCAATTTCATCACCAGTTGGAGGTATGAGTTGCGAATAATTTTCTTCAACTTTAGTCAATATTTAATAATTTTTATGTCACTTCTAATAAATAGTTTTGTTGTAAATATTGCATCATCAACATATTTTTTAGTAGCCATATGCTTAGCAGCTGTGGGTGGATCTCTTGAGATGAATGCATTTATTTCATTTAATTTCTTGTTAATCGATTTTGTCGTATTGTGTATTAATTTTGCTTGCTAATGGAAAAATATTTGCTTGTTCTAGTTGATTTATCTTTCGTATATTATTTTCCGATGACATTTTTAGAGTTGTATCAGTGTATTGTTTCGTAGCACAATCTAAAGGTTTTATTGGATCTTGTTGGCACTGCTACCAGTTTCGAACATTGATGATAATGATGATGATGATGAGGAAGTACATCTAAACTTATCGATAGACATTTTTCAAATAATAATTTATTCAATTAATCACAACTAATATATAATTTTTGCTTCGCGTAATTTATCTTCAATGGCTCGTATCTCGTTTAAGTGAATAATTGTTTCCAGCTTTTGAAGACGCATGTAATAAAGCTAGCTAAACGTTCAACTAACTCATTAGAATGACCCCAATAAATATACCATTGGTTTTTTGTTATACGTATTAATCAAATTGCCTCCTTTTTTAAATTTTTCCTTTTTAAGCGGTGGTTTTTATCAAAAATTGTTTTATTAATATTTTTGTATTTCCAGGACTTATTTCCTGAAATTTGTTTCGTCGCATCGTAATTTCGAAAGGCTGCATTAGATATCAAAATTATACAGGATGGGTTTTTAGTGCGATAGAGTCTATAATTTCCGATGGTGTTGAACTTTCGAAAATGTGTTTCATATATAAAAGTTGTTGATGCATAAAGTGCGCACATTTTTAAAATTTTTATTTATTTATTTAAATTTTAAAATCTTATATGATACAGAGTGTCTCAGAAAAGCCAGGCAAGATCAAAGTGTATTTTTTTAAATAGAACTATCCATTTTTCATTAGCTCATGAAATACAGCTTGAAAGCCGCATATCCATCGTAAATTGTTTTTTCTTTCTTGCGACGTTGATAGATTATCGCCATTTTAGTAGAATTTTGCCAAAAAAAATACGTCGTTCTAATCACCACAGGTCCGTTAAGAATTCTATTGAACCAAAATATCAATACATTGTACAGGGTGTTAACAATGTGGACTTTTGTTTTTTCAAATGGAAGTTCCTGTATATTAGTACGTCATTAGATAGACAATTTACAAAGTTTTAAATTTGCAATTACACTTTAAGCTGTGAAATCAACCGTTTTCAAATTATAAATTATTTTATTTAAAAATTTCAAAAAGTTGTTACATTTTGTAAGGTGGCTAAGTGGAAGGAAACAGACATATTTTTTTTTCGCAAAAACTATGAATGATGCAAGATTTAACAAAGAGGACAAACGTCTCACAAGAGGTTTAGTGTATCAAGTGAAAAGAAACAGTTGATTCCAACTACCTACCAGCCAGGTCGGATGGCAGCACACCCGACAAACCGCAACCTAAGCGGCCGTGTGTGGGAACTTCCGCAAGGGGCGCGATTTCCGGGATTAAGATGGCCATAGCGGCGCTCGGACATCCCGAGAAAAACTTTTCTCCTGAGCAGGGAGAACTCATAAAGAGGCACCTGCTTGAGAGAATCGATGAACTGCAACCAGGGACGACGAATACTAAGTTTCGTTCCACAAATTTTAGTCACATTTTTTCTCCAGGTTGCATCTACGTGCCAAGTACAGAACAGCCTTTTTTCAGGCACCAAATACATTAACATATGCATTAAAATAATCATCCCCCAGGTGGTATATATAGGATATAGAAAATCTTATTGCTGATTGGTTGCCAGTCATGATACGTCAACGGTACCATTATGCCGTGTGCTGGGGCTATCCGCTTGTGCTTCGGCCGCTCTCAGTGAGTGTATGCTAAAGACTTCATTAGATGTCGGTCTAATTCAGGAACCATATGTCTATAAGGGGAGAATTGGAAGATTGGGAACTTCAGAGGACAAATAGTCTACTGCCAATCTGAAGAAAACCCACGTACATGTATTCTCATAAGGAATACAGTTAGAGCTATACCGTTATGGGAACACGCGAATCTGCTATCCACGAGTTGGTGCAGAGGGCACAAACCTCATTAGAGCGTAAAGAAATTGCTCTGGCGGCTTTTTTGGACATAGAGGGAGCCTTTGAGAATACCTCTTTTCAGTCAATCGTCAGAGCGGTGAAAAATCGTGGAGTGCAGCCTTCAATATGTGAATGGATCTAAAACATGCTGAGCTGCAGAACAGTTACCGTCGAACTCAATGAAGTCAGCGTGGAAGCGCGGGTTGCCGGTGGGTGTCGGCAGAGAGGAGTTTTGTCGCCTCTGCTGTGAAGCCTGGTGGTGGACCGGCTCCTGTCGTCTCCTGAGGGGAAGGGGGTATACCCACTGGGATATGCGGATGATGTCTCCATTGTTGGACAGGGAAAGTTTGGAGACACTGTATCATCATTGATGCAGCAGGCGCTAAACATCACCGCGCAATGGTCTAACACGGAAGAGCTGAAAATTGGCCCATCCAAGACATCTATTATCGCTTTCACAAGGAAGAGAGAGCCCTAATGTCTATATATGGAAACAAAATACACATGTCTAACACTGTTAAATATCTTGGGGTAACCCTGGATAAGAAGCTGTTGTTTAAAGAACATGTGAAACAGAAAAAAAACAAGGCAATCAGGGCTTTATGGACCTGCAAACGCACTTTTG